TAAAGGTCTGGATACCGTGTTTCCTTGCCTACTGTCTAAGTTACTGGCTAGCGAATTTAGCCGTTCTTTACGCCCCCTTTGTCGTTCTTCTACATAGTAAAGTGATCACTTAGGTAAGTTAGTTGATAGAAGCGAATTAATAGTTAAAGCGAGCATACGAGTCAAAGGCAAATCGGTTGACTTTGTATAATTTCTTCTTTTTTCTGACTTTGTATAATAGTTCGTAAGAAATGGCTTTCAAAGCGACCCATTCTGACTCCGTACCACAGCTCGAAATATAGTTAATTGAACCCATAATGCTCTAGCCACCATGGCTGTGGTCATCGCCTACCCAAACTTGATCGACTGATCAGCAATTTTTTTTTTCCCTAAAATCGTCGTGATGCCGTATGGTATTACGTTGGAGAGTAGAGGACAGGCCGTTCCTTTGTTCGAAAGACCTCATCGGGCTTTCGCACTGAACTTAATTGTGTTCTATGCGACATCTTTTTACATCACAGACGATGCGTTTCGACAGCCACAAAAATTAGTGGTCTACCGTTGGCATCGGGTCAGTGATCCTCCGAGGCGATGTCTACATGCCAGAGTGTGCTATGCTGTGCATTATATGCACAATAGCACATAGGTAGCAAGAACCTTACCAAAATTGTTCGAGACAATCGGAGAGATGCAAAGGCGGATATCGCTTGTCATAAACCGTATCAGAGGTAGAGTACTATTGAGTTTCGAAGCCTCCTTTGGTTGAATTTCCGTGCTTTTTTTGTGTGCGCCAATAGCTTGTCAACTCATCTGTTGCTTTGCCTGAACCTTCAAAGTGTATTTTACTATTTCGAAAAGTGTCCTGAGCCTTTGGTGCCTCTCGACGGTTGAAAGATCATCTCCGATGATACGGAACTTTCCTTCAATGCGGCCTTTCCAAACATGAACCAAATGTTGCTTCACAAGAAGATTATTGAAAGCCAAATAAGTTAGTCAATTAGAATCTTTCTAGCACTAAGTAAATAAATAAATAAACCTACGTCAGGAATACTCGAGCATTGTATCTATTATACATTGAAAACTGGAATCTTGGCGTACATAAAAAGAATTTTAGTTGATTTAATTTAGTAATTTCGTTCATCGCAGATCTCACAGTATTTTACATATAATAATAATAATAATAATAATAATAGTCTTTAAATATATCGAAGTATTGTAGTGGATGTAGCGCATGAACGTTTTCAGACGCCGTGACAGGTTCACAGTGATCTATGGTCAATAATAATAAATTCGTATTCAAATTTCAATTCTAAACACTCACTTCAACTTATATATAATAGTTTATATATTTAGTATATAATATTTAGTTTAATAAACGTGTAATAGTTTCTTTGTTGACTGGATCGGCAAGCATGTCTTGCGAAAATACTGCGTACCCTAGAAACAGAATGCACGGGTACCCAACGTTAGATATATATGAATAGAACACACAAAAGCCCAGGGTCTATTCGACGCTCGCTAGATTACTGAAAAATAACACAGACCGACAATTGTGCTTAACCAGAAACCAACATATAATTAACTGTGTTTGTTGGTCTGCTAGAAAACCCGCGGCGTTATAGGCAATGAAGTAAATTTACAGTGGCGGTACACTCACATTATTTATCGGTCATTATTGAATCGCGTTGGCGGAGTAGTTTAAGATAACCGACAGACGACAAAAAGATATTAACGATAGTGCACTATGATATAGTTAAGTACAAGCTTTATTAAATATAGGTTCATTAACAAATGATTGCTTGTCTAGCGCAACGGCTACACAGGATGGCCTGGTCCTTAAGGTTGCTTGATGATACATCATACCGGTAGGCATTTAATTACCTGCTCACCCATTTGCCAGCCGCGTCATACGCAGAACCTTTTCTAGAAATGAATAGAGTACCATAGCCTCGACATTATTTCCTCCCCTTGGCGTTGATCCATTTTTTTCCGAACTCGTTTTCTCTTCTGCGCCCGCTAGTTAACGGCTTCTTTACGCACCAAAAGGCACTCCCACTCACTTAGGCAGCGGAGAAAAAAACGTAGGATAAGGTCTGTCGGACCAGCAGCGGCAAGCCTGAACACAGCCTCGACGACCATATTTCAATAAACTTTATGGCGGGCTCAGCGGTATTTGTCGAAGGTTCCTCATCGGCTAGCTACTTTGCACTGTACAAGTCAGCTCTAACAGATTCTATATAGAGAACTCAGTTCGGCTATAATACGACCGGGTACCACCACACCGTCACCAGGTCACATCGCCGAGAGCAAGAAATGAAGCTATAGCATAGCGGCCGCGAACCGCATGCAAGTTTCTGCCTCGTTGTCAAGCGCACACATACATACATACATGCATATATACGAAGCGCGGCCAGTGTACCCTGTTTACATATTTGGAAAATGATGGTGTGCAAATTCCGGTGACCTTCGGAGTTCGTTTCGAGGTTACACTCGATCTTTGTTCTGTTAGCAGCTTGGCAACGTCCTTATTTATCCAGATAAGAACGACCGGATAAGGGCCAAAGGTACATCGTATACTCTCGTATACGGTACACAGAAGTCCAACACGTCAGTTTATGAGAAATTGCTTTTTAAGGACAAACGTTTAACATTGCAATGCATGTTGTCTACAGGTAACTCTGTATCTACACATGCAGACGCACATTTCATACGACACGAATATGCAGAAAGCAGGTAAGTAACTAATCAATTCAAAAGAAAGTTGTCCTTGTGTATTACTGCGCCTCCCACCATATAATCGGCCACAGCAGTCTATAGAACTGAGCGATAGGCACGCATCATGATTTAGGTACGTTATATCGATCACTAAACAGATTCACACCATCGCGCATAGTTACTTTTTACTATTGAAGCCAAAGCCCTGTTTTACCGTTTAGGACGCTGCGTTCTCTATGCCTATGTGTCGGTTTATTTATACGTCTAATATTTATAGGTGCCCTCTGTGTGACATGTTTCGTTACGCTCTTCGTCCCGGTGCGTTGGCCTGCTGCATCCTGACTTGTCAAAAGTTCATTCTGGTCACCCTTGTTATTGCGAATATGGCCGTCCAATGTTGTTGATCTCTAACCGCATCCGTCCCATCGAACAAGGCAAAGTCTACATCCTCAATATTAATTACTCATAATATGGCAAACAAAAGTACGGTTATTGATTGTGTGGCTGTGGTTCCCGCTACAGCCTGTTATGCTAAGGAACATCGGTCAAAATCCAATTATGATTGCGGATCAATCATTGTGATACACAATGCCTCTCCTCCGATCTTTTACTAGAAGACATCATTTGTCGAACTGGAGGCACATGAACGATATTGTCTTGAATCTTCTAACGGATACTCTATTTTGCGATTTTAGAATAGACATTTTGTGTGTGTGTGAGTGTGTGTGTGTGTGTGCTATCTCATAACTTTAGTCCTTAAAGTTAAGCCATATTTTCTAAAATTTAGATGTATGCCCAAGTTTAAGTACATAATCGCCGTTGTCCGATCTAAGATGCAGCAAACGTTAAACTTATACTGGGAAACGGAACTGTTCTATAACAGTGTGATAATTCGCGACTATTTGTTTGTTTTCGCGAAGTATATATAAATCATTAACTTGAATTAATATCATCACCGGGGCTGTTGACAGTGAGTCACGAAGATCTGATAATTAGAGCGATTTAACAATCTGAACCCAACCCTAAAACTACGGAGGCAGTTTGCCGTATAAACGTTATATTCTATTTAGAATTTACTACTAGAAGCAGCCTAAAACGTTAACTTAAAAAGTAGCGAAAAAGAAATTTTGAACTTGAAACGAGTTTCGTGGAAAACCCACTGCCAAATCGTTACTAATGGAACGTTAAAATCTTTGGCGGATGCTGACTAGTTTCAGTTTACGGGAGCTAGCGTTCAGGCTTGGTAGATGTAAAAATGCCATACATCTTAATTTTGGCTTTGGGCTATTAAGAGAAAAAAATCGGCATAATTTAAGCGGGTATCAAAAATAAAGAAGTAGAGACGCTTGACTCCTTTTACTTTTACGTTATGACGATGACGTTATAAGGACCCGTTGTGGCATTACATTGTCGTGTTTGACTTTCTGGGGTCATCGCAGGCAGTCATGTTACTGGACGGATGCAAATGACCCTACGGAATCTCGCCCCAAAGCAAATGTAAAACTGCAAACGTTTACTGGGTGTGCTCAGCAGTCGAATGCAGGTGTTGTCCGCTTGAGCTTCATAAATCCCTGTTCACCGATCACAACTGAATTTCAGCCAACAGTTGAAGGACACCGCAGTAGCCGGTAAACTGCTACCATAGTACGACAACACTCGACTAAGTACCATAAAAATAACGGTGGCAACGACATAGCAGCTACAGTTGAAGGTTCCGTGTCATCTCACCAGAAAGCTGCTGCTCTCATAATGTTGATAACTTCCTAATAGGAAAATTGAGCAAGTTACCATCCAAACCGCAGAAAATTATAGATAATGTATGCTTTGACTGATTCGTGTGAAAAAAAAAAGGCTCAGAAAGGTTCACACTGAACAACCTAATGTCTATGAGGCATGGACAAAATTGTTCAGCAAACACACATAGAAATTTCGAAATTTCCTGCTCATATAGGCAACAACCCTATCTTTGAATTCGGGCTTAATGTAAACTCGTTATCTGAATAAGAAGATGACCGACGAGTAAATTTCCTGATCAGAAAATGAAAAATTAGATAAGATATGCTAAAAACTATTATTTAATTTCAGACGATTCATTGACGAGCAACCCATTTACTGTATTTAAATAATTGCTCAGCGATTAATTAGCGATCGAAGAAGATCCACCATAAGGTTAGTAAAGTGAATCTTTTAGAAGCTGCTCTTCGTAATACCAATAAATCTCATTGACGCGTATATCGGACACTTACTTGCGTCAATACTTAAGTCAATTTAAAAAAAATCGACACGCTAAAACAGGTTCAACCTACCGAGCGTCGTCACAATTGTCATGCAGTAGAATAGGGAACCAGGAAAGGTCCATTGAGTTGAATAATTTGAAACGAAGTCCATGTTATCCAGGTCGAGGACCACCTTTTCGTGGCTTAGGAGTGTCTGGCTAGCAAGACTCTTCCAGTCTTCCACAGTATGATTTCTCAAATTGCTTTGAAGCGTATCGAGAACGGCGGTTCGCGTTTCATTAAGAAATACCATTTGCTTAATAGACTGTTCCTCATTGGGTGCCTCAATCCAACGAAACATTGCAGCTCCAATGAAGCAATAGGCCAGGAGAACAAGCAGTAGCATCAAATGCGAAAACCATTTTTCCGAAAACTCTTTGATTTTCTTCGCAAATTGAACACCTTGTGATACTGCGGTTCCGATTCCCCTACCAGTGATATTGGCCACATTCATTGGGTTGACGAAAAAAAATTGCGGAGGCTTGCTGGGGTTTTTCGATTGTATGGATATGACAGACCTTTCTGAGGCGTACATTGGTCGGCGCCGTAAACTGGTGGGGGTGCCTGGGCGTGAGGGCACCCTCTGGACGCCCGCCGGTGCACAAGGCTTGAGTGCCGCAGACGACGACATTGTATACGGACGGTTGTGCTTAACGATCCAGCAATAGCACTGCTATTAGCGTAAAATGGTCCTTTGACTATAAACGTAACAGTAGCAATACGTCGTACACTTGTACACGAACTAGCACATAAAGTGAATCACCTACTACTAACTTTCGCCTTTACATAAACGAACTACAATGAGAACACACGACGACATAAGCCCGCAATTACAGTTGCTATACAGAGAAAAGAGCCTCGCTAAAAGCTGGTCGGAAAGTTATCACGGCGAGCGTGGGTTCGAGTCACCTGGGTTCGGTTACCAGGCACAAACCAGCGAAACTACGCTGTGATGCTTCTCGCCAGTGTGGTAATGCCGTCGACGCGAGTTCGTAACCGGGCCGTAGGCATAATATAGTAGGCAGCAAAGCATTTCGAAGCAGAGAGCGACACTGAGTGCGTCCAATGACTTTGCTACTACCGCTACAAAACTATCGAGAAGAGTCAATACGAACGCGTTCGTCGCTCTGGCAGCGAGTGTACCGGTCATAGAGTTGTAGTGCCTCCGCTGTCTACCCAATGCTCCGTGGCTACCTAGGATACAAACGCCTAGCAGACATGGCTTTCCGGCCGACATCTAAACCACATTCATGTACAGATACGAAGACAGATAGACAGATGTATCAGGAAAAGGTCGAGTTTGAACCGAACACAGGCTTAAAGGAAAAACGTCCAATAAAGCATCCTCGTGTGGAGCAGTAGTTCACGAGCCCAGGGTCTGGGAAAAATAATTGATTCTGCAGCCGTTCCTTTTGTATTGGCCGTCCTTCAAACGCTACTGGTTAAAGGATCATGAGAGGAAACTAGAACGTGTGCTTTTAAGATCGATAGGCACGCCTAAAATTGCATTGATTCTCAAGCGTTTACTGACATAGCGCTGATAGCTGTTTGCTCTGTCAATACAGAAAAGTCATGGACCAATGTCTGATCACGTTGGTTCCTCATGGGCCTGGTCTTGTTAGATAGGGACGACAGTTATAACAACTTTTTTGACTCTACAATCCTCCGCTGCTACATATTTAAATTAACCGAAATAGAAACTTGAGTAGAAATGGCGGAACCAATATTCAAATACGACACTTTGTCCATAGCGGTAGCCGTTGGGGATCTAGAGAAAATGGCGATGAAGACACCGTTACATATTTATTTTTCTACTAAATTTATATACAAGTAGTCGATCATTTGGCGCGGCGAATCTTCATTCTGCTGTCTTGATATAAAAAGGAGAAACCCTTTTGTACTCAGAAATCATCAATGTAATACGGCATAAGCTGAAATACTGAAAAGCTGAAACGGAACATAAACAAATATCGATGACACCTCTGGAGCGGAGTCCATGATGGGTGGCCCATCTCTGATGGACTATTCGAACGGCTTCTCGTAGGCGAAGCCACAGAGAACCGTATTGTGTGTATTGCTGCTGTTATTATTTCGTCGTTATTACTGTTATTAGCAGATCATTTATGAAAAATTATAACGAACGCCACTCAGTATATTTCCCTAGATCACCTCTTACTCTGGCTACGTGTTTCTGATGGTCAGAACCGTTTTTCCCGATCGACTTTCGTAATCTTACTTTAGTAGTGTGTAGACAACCAGATTTTTGACAACGTTAGAGGAATAAAGAAAGGTTTTGTTTGTAGCGTCGTGCGATGATCGCCTTGAGTAGTATATAGATGGAACAGCATAATTAGGTCTTCTGGAATAAGTTGGCATTCTTCGAAAGAACAAAGAAAGGGCCGACGAAATTCAGCAGAAAGCCGCGGCAATAACGAATCTGGAAATTTCTATTCTACAGGTAAAAAAAAAAACTCTATATAATAATAGAGTTTGCCAGTTAAGGCTTATTAAAACGCAATAATACTCGGTCGTCCTCAGGAGCGACGCAAAGATACCGGGTCAGTACGACGTTTGACAAATCGAAATCTATTTGTTGTTTATACCTCTTGCTATTCAACAAACTCTTTCATTGCATCTCGAAAATACATTGGTACCAATCAACTGAATCTATTGCGAGAATCGTTTCACGTTGTATTTAGAAACATTTTGGTAAAGACAGGCACTTCTATTTAAGATCGATTACCTATTCACTGTCATTGTGATGTCAGAGCATATCATCAACAGATATTCCAAACAAACGGGTTAGACGAAAACAGCCCATCTCAAAAAATCCCCTGCCAGCTTCCCAGACATGACGTCAATATACTTTTTTTCTAGCAAGGATACTTTGAAGATAAGATCTACGCCAGAAAACCGATGGCGCTGAAAGATTAAAAGGCTCTAACTGAGCGAAAATGCGTTACTACGCCAAACGCCAAACAATTGTTCAGGTTTATGAATCGATAATATTAATAAGAAAAAGTAATTAAAAATATATTGAGCAAGACGGTGATCATTTGTGGGACATCTGCGCAGAAGAAAAAGTTTGACCCGCTATGAAGACTATTTGCAATTTTAATATTAATTAGGTGTAAATAAAAACTAAAATAATAATCATGTAACCTGTGAATACATTTTTGGGGTACCCTGTATTCGCTATATGTGTTTCCTCGACACGAGTCGGCCAGCGACAGTGTATCACCAACACTTGCCCCTGTCAGTTAGTGTACCTGTGTACACTGCACTATTTAGACCCTAATGTTTTTTCGTGTAGACATTATCTCTGCTATTAGTTGTAATCAAAGGTATGGTCACGAGTGTTAAAAATGTTTTCCAATAAGAAGAGGAGAAAGCGCCGCGACCATATGCGTAATTTCATTACTCTTAGTCGCAACATAAATCTTCATAAATGTCCCTACGATTCTCTGACAAAGATCGCCTGCAGTGTTATCCGTAAAGATGCCCTTCGTCTTATGTTCGTTTGCGTAGCGTACACAAATGCTCCCGGCTGCAGTAACCTGTCAGTGATTTATTACTATCATTGACGACCTAACCGAATCACTATGAAGATTATTTATTTATACGCTACTGTATATATTTCATTAAACATTATGCATCACAGCGTAATCGACAGACTAAAAAAAAAATATGCATAAAGTATTTATTTGATCGTAACGTATTATGAATGGCATGTATAGATATAGCGTATTTATTTATACTGTATAAATTCAATTCATCTCAGTCGGTCAAGCATGGACTAACGAGTGTATGCATGTCATAGCGCCGCCGGCGCATAGCAGCGTGTCTTCTTCAAGACATAACATCTTCTGTATACCTGATTGGCCTAAGCCACTTCCTAGCGATGAGTCACACCGAGGTAAATGAAAACAGCGCCCTGCCATCTTTAAAACGACCTTTCGATTCTGTTCAGTAGCCACCTTATTGCTGTCAGAGGAAGAACGCTAGCGCGTCTTTAATAGAATGGAACACTTAACGGGACGTGCCCAATGGAACTGGTTGCCTGACTAGGCCCATGTGACCATTGCAGTGCTATGGAGACCGCATCATGGTCACAGACGCCACTGATGCGCCTCCACCTTTTGCTGTTACTCAGGTGAGTGTTTTACAAAAGGCAAACTTGCATACGAGCAATCAAAGGACAACGATAATAGCGCTACTACGAAGCTGTGCTAACAGTAGCATCGACGATATCTATCTAGAAAGTAGTATAAGTATATATATATAAGGATAAAGTAGTATCTACTTAATCGTTCTGTAGATGTACCGACGTACTGGAATCTTAATTAATTCCAATCGATTCGAGCGATTAGTTAGCTTCCCAAGGAGAAATTCAAGTCTATGACACACGCATGTATACAAACGTATATCTTTGTACGTATGTGTAGATACACCCACTTTTTTTGTGGAATTACCTAAGCACGATTACGAATAAATGAGACTCTGGCAAAAAAAAAATAGCTCTTTAATTTAATGTACAAGTGAACGCATTGCACAACTTCGTATTTTATAGCTTAATTACACTTTTGTTTCTTTTATGTAGTCGCTTAACAAATACTCGTTTGGTAACTATTCCGTATAATACATTTGGTATTTACATACAAAGGCACCGGCGACACATTCTTCAATTGAGGTAGGCTTCCTCAAGGCTTTCTAGTTATAAAGGTCTGTATGACAAATCAGGTGCCTTCACGAGAGCTAGTATCGGTTAACTACTCTTACCTTGTAACCTTAAGGAGGAAGATGTCGTTCACTCTGAATGATAAGTGTTCCTATTGGTGCCCTGAAACTCCTCCACCGGCAACCGCTCATTGTTTCTTTTCAACACAAATTATCTTCTGCATATGCTTAATCGTGACTATAACCGAGCTTTCAAAAAATTGACATTGACATTGAGACAAAAGCCTTCGTTCAATGAAGCATGAACATGCGTCTAAATTTTTTGCCATATTTCTCTAAGTTTTAAAAAGGGAAAAATTTCCCTGAATCATTTGTTTCTTCCTTGTTACTTCCCTGTTACTCTAATGCGTAAGGAGACTCGCTTGCTTGTTCGTATGGAAAATAGTGACGATTTTTATTTGATGCTCTTTGTGGAGGTACAGTGGGACGAACTATCTTCAAAGAGATCTATTCTTATTGGATTGGAACAGCTGAACCCCTATATGAGCATTTGAGTGGCGCAATATATTTATGGTATATCATAGAGGCGATCTTTTCGAACCTAAAGACTACAAAAGTTTGTCTTGGTCACTTCCGATCGACTATAGAGTACCAAACCAACCAATCTGTGAGATAGCTAATACTAGCAAAGAAACCCCAACTGAAGAAGACCTGAATTTCCAAGCAAGCGTCAATGCTACAGATAATGGGGTCACCAGCAGAACTCTGGCTGGCAATGGGCCTGATACCGCTGCCTCGAGTAAATCTTCTTGAAATTTGTTGCAGGTTCACCAAACTACTGAGTCGCTGGTCACACAGTTGTACGTATCGTTCAGTAGAGATTATATCAAGTTTGATGTTACGTCCCATTGTCGCCCACGGCCTAGGCCCCGAATCAACCCTTTTTTGTGGGCTGAAAGATTGAATGAAGAGAACCGTACGGCTGCCAGACCAATAATGGCACCTAAGTTCCCAATGTACACAAACGTTCGACACGTCTAGAGTAGATATATTCATGCGAAACAGATGGGTTAAGAGAGCCGAAGTAAATAACGGTAGTCGACGAACGGTAATGTAATTATTATCTTCAGAATAGAGACTGAAAAACTTCATATTGCACGTAGAGTAATGACTACATTGCATCTAACGAACCGCCAGTCACCCACTCTGACAACAGATTGGGATGTCATATATCGAATTATGCCTCGTTTGCATCTCTGCAATGAATCGTTCGTTCCGTTCGTTATATGGAAAAAGTACGGAACGGCTTGGCACAGATGGACCGTTGAGCTTGGGAGAAAACGTAATTGAAACACTTTCTGACTGATTAGTATAAGATAATTGATTGGCAATAGAAATCACACAGTAAAAGCTTTTATCTTTTATAAAAATCTTCAAAAAGGCACACATTCATACTTTCAATAAGTGCTTCAATTCGTACTTGTAATATTCATTCAAATCTGCCCGCGCTTTAGAGATAGCAGCTTAGCTCTTCACAACAAAAAAGCTTAGATACCGCCTATATGAACCAGTATGGCCCTTCTTGTACAGAATAGTGTATGAAGTGACGGAATAAAGATTCTTAGTTAGCTGTGCGTAAATCTGTCACTGGGACAAGTGAACGTTATTCGTCTAGCTTTTCGCTACCCATCCCTTGCGGTAGATAGGTAGGCATACCTTGTAAACTCTAGATTTATAATCATATAACGAAAGGCTAAGTAACTTTTTTTTTTTTTTAGTAACAACGGCCGCGGTATATGGCGTGTTAACGGGGCCTAACGACAAGGCAGAACAATAAAATATGACAGGCGAAATATTCCAAGAAAATTGTGGGCTTGTGACTGAGAAATTTCATTCGGTCTAGCGCTCACAGATGGTACTCTGGTAAATGATTGTCGCGCCAGCGTTACCCAGACTGGCAAGATACGATGTATTTGAAATCCTTATGGTGTACAACAGTAAACTTTTACAATTATTTAAAAAAAAAACAAGTCGATATTTCGATCAGAGTGCCCATCTGGAAGCATTTCGAATACATACTTTATGCTGCGAAATCTAGAAAAGCTGATATGTTCTCCTCAAAATTACCAGTTAGCCAGGTGTATTTACAAAACCTATGGAAATTATTAACTAGATTGATACGAACACCCAGACCTTAATTTATGTATTTCAGCAGTTTTCAAATGTACGAAGAAGACAAGTTCAATTAATAGGAGGCAGATAAAAATGACGAAACACTTTCACTCAAAAAGTTTATTACTTACAATTAATAGACATTTAAAGAATTACGCAGCATTAGTTGTCAATGACCTTATCTTCCCTTGCGTCACCTGCTTGTGTGTGTGTGTGTGTGTGATATCGTAAGGCACAAAACTATTGTCACATTGTAGTGCTCGACTGACTCATCAGCTCGTGGTACAGAATGACACATAAGATTGTATCGGCACAAGGCCAAATGCATTGTGAAATTCGCTAGATGCAAGCCTACACGAGCGCTCTAAAGAGCTTGGCAAATCAAGACGGCCGTCGTAGTTAGATCATGGCTTATTACAGTAGCCTTTTGTAGCTGGATATCCTGCATAACGAAAATACCTGCCACACAGTAGAATACGTTTATTTAGGCGGTGTTATACAAAATAAATGTCTAAGGACCTTTCACCGCATGCGTTCGTGTCAAAGCGTAACATGTTATGGTTGGGCTGCTTTAAATAAATCTGAGTCATCTATGAACATCGTTGGACAGGAAGGACATGCAATGACGTACCTTTGCCAGCAGAGGTCCTTACGCAATATTTTTCATGTTCTACTCTTATACGATGTGTATATAGATAATAAGTTGAGGAAAAATTATAAACTTGCACATTACATGATGAAAATCATAATAATATACATGTTCAGAATCATAAAACATCATTTAAGTTTATTCCACACCGTCGTATATATTAGACATTTATACTGTGCATGTACCTGTATAAGAAAGTGGCGTCATTTATTCATCGCTTCACTCCGGGCTGCCTCTGAGCGAAACGTCCGCATTATATCTATATATGTGCGTCTGCAGATTGTCAATCAATGCAGAAGTTCTTGTAAAAAAATTATTGGGTAATCATAATGCACGCTAGTGATTGCTATGATACTTTTTAGTGAGCTTCGTTAGCAAATGTAGACATGAGGAAAAAAGGTAAAAATCGAAAAATAATTTCGAAAATCTTTAGCCGTTGCCATTCAATTATTCGATTTGATTCTGAGTACCATCTCCCTCTGGACAGCTTCCCATTTATACTTCTTAGCTTAATTCATCTGCAACACTTTCTGTGCGATAAGATCATGTGGCCGAACAACTATCAATAGCGGTTACTACGTTTTTCAATACTTCCTCGCCTCTAGTTAAATATGTGACTGAAGCTGCATAATAAATTGAAGACTTATGTACAGTATCCGATAGTGTTTATAGTGATTGCTTTTTTAGATCTTCAAAGGTAAAAATGCCAGTATGGACCACAAAGCACGCTTTAGAAGGTCGCTAAAAGTGGTTAACAATGATTAATTACAAGCCCTGTGAGACAAAAATCCGATCGCGTCCCCTCAGAATTTTTTGGCAGATTGACGGTAGTCGCATTACTGTCGCAAATCGCTTATTTGCATTAAGACAGTCAGGTGGGTCCCTCATGAGTTTGGTGCCATTATCTAGGGCTTGACATATGCGTATAACTAATCGACCAGGCTCGTCAAATTGAATCGAGAAATTGGTTATACAATGACCCTGAAAAGGAAGCGCGCCGTACTGTTCTTTGGTTATATGAGTAGATTTGCTTCCGTAAGGCTTTGGCGACGCGAAAAATTCTGACAGGCCTTGTTTTTTTTGTTGATTTTAATTTTGTCATTCCTGATTTATAGCTCGGACCTGGCTTTACTGGACTTCTGCTGTTCGGACCCATGCAACACGGCGTAGGGAACGAGTAATGCACAGCAAGAAGCAAGGTACGAAAACTGTCCTGTCAAAGAGTCCCTTTATAGGTGCCTTCCTTATCAGCCGCAGGGTCTAACTGGTACTTAAATGGCGAAGGAAGGCGACGCAAAGCCCAGTTATTTATTTAGGAAGGTAAAATTAGTCTCTTACAAACATGAATACTACACAAATTGAACTGAAGAAGTGAAACTATTTTTTGATCGACTTAATACTTTTATATTCTCAATTAATTTTTATCTAACTTTAACCTCAACTAAGTCGGCAGATGTTGTAAAGTAAAAAAAAAAAACCCTCTATATGTACCAAATGTAAACTTATGCATGAGCACCGAATGCCGTGGAAACTACGGTTTGGCCAGGTCCTTCACACGATGCGGTCTAGGGTCGAATCCGATCATAGACACGCGTCGTTTCGTGCTGGAAATCGGCCTCCTGATTGAATGCCTAACGGCGACGCTCGACGTAAAACTCAAAGCATAGAGGTTCTTTACAGGGAGCCTCCACAGATCAACCCAAATTTCGTTTACTAGAAACGATATACGGTAAAACAGCCTCCCGTTGACCTATCATTTTGTAAGCTGGACGTAAAATAGCCATAATTGTTTACATTGAACTTGATATAAAAGAAAGGTGTGCAGTTTACATTAAAATTATTTAAACCCAATTTTTCAATAATAATAATTTTGTAAGTCGCATTGTGAACAATACCAACTTCATCTCGAGGCATACCTATGAGCGGCAGCTTCGTTTTAGCCGACAACTTTTCCTTACTTTACGATCCATTTGTCAATAGGAGACTCTCTGTGGGAGTCCCCCTCGATCTCTATTGTTGCCTACTGAAATCTCTGGCCTGGAAGGAATATCATACATTTACTTGAGGTAAATGAGTCTACGGCTGTCGATAGAGTTCAACAAATTTCTGTACTAGATTGGCCCTGACGAAGTTGATGATTATTTGTCGATTTCCGATACCTAATTACATAGAATCCATAGGAAGATTTCGCAAATTTCCTAGAGACAGCGTGGTATAATTTTAAACCTATGGCGATTCAAACATAAGTCAATCTTTATATAAGATTTTAATGTACTCGCAATGGAAAAAGTAAGTAGATTTAAAATAAGGTACTCGATAGGTTTTACAATAAGGTACCTAACCATAAACTTGTAAAAAGCGGAACTTAATTAGCTCTTTCTGACTTACTGGTTTTAGGGGATATTAGGACAGTGTCATGGCAGGTACAGGAGCAGTTTGGATGCTTGGACTGATTTACTTTTTCAAAGCAAAAGTTTTCCACACACATGGCGATCTCGTATCTCCCTAACCGTCTAGAAGTAAAGCATAGTTGTTACCAGCAATTCGCGACCCTGCGTTTATAATTCGAAGTTAACTAAAATAAAAGTTCGATGATTCGGAATTATGCTTGTGTCGTGGATGTACAGAATTTCTGTAAGGAACCCTTTTGAGCCTAGTCTTATTACGTAGTATATATACCTTTAGCATAGCTTGATAATACTGGAGTTCACCTGTTCGTCAGTACCTGGCGCACCTCCTTTAACTAAAACTGTTTATATAAATAAAGGCAAAAAATAGGATAGTTCTTCTCATGTTGAGACACGTAACGACATTGCGCATCATTGTGATTATATGACTGAAAATATTATTCAGTCTGAAAAATAATATGGATTAAAATATCGAAGACTTTTCATACTAATTAAATTTCAACCGGTTCCACTTGTTTCGACATACACGACTTACCTATTCTCGTTTTCGTACGGTTGGGAGCTGTTGATCCGGCCGTAGTAACGAGTAAATTTGGCTGAAGTAATCTTTAAATAAATGTTGAAAACTAATGACTGAAACTTACCAATTGTAGTGAATACCGTCGAGCAGTAAAAAAGCGCTCCCCAAAATGTCCAGACTTTTTTATCGGACGGTGTGTACAGACTAGCTTCTCGCACTAACGTTCGAATTTGTTCCTCGTACTCAAGCACACGTGTCAAAGCATCCTGGCGCCATTGCGTTTGGTTGTAGACCCGCGCCATTTCCGCGAGTCGATTCACTACAAGACTTCGAAAGTTTATTATAGTTTGCTTTTGTTGAGTTTCGAAATCCTCTTCGAGCCACTGAAACAGGTGAGCACCAGCTGCTGCGTACAGCATCAAAAAGCTCAATAATAGCACATGGGAGAACCACTTTTCTGAAAATGCTTTAATCTTCTGAGCCACGCGGATCCCGAACGACTTCGTTTTATCCGCTGTTAAATTCACTACATGCATTGGATTCAGTATGAAATATTGGGGGGGCCGAGTAGGGTCGGACTGAAACGAAATGACAGATATCTGTGAACGGTGATAAGCTCGACGCCGCATCGTAGGAGTATCGACACGTGAAGAGCTACGAGAACCTCCCGGTATACCCTCCGGCGTTAGCGACCTTTCGCGAGTACCCATCTAAAAGAATCAAAGAACAAATGAAGTAGGCTAACCTTATTTCAGATTTATCTTTAAATGTTATCTATCATTTTTCAAACGGTAGATAGCAACAGTTTGATACATTTGAAATTACGATAGGAGTTAATCTAAACCCAGCGTGAGGTAAAATATTATGGTTAGCCAGTCTTTAATAATGTTTTTTTTATGAGTATGCACGAGCGTCAATAGTCCCAGTATTGCAAAGACTACGGTTCATATCTATCAGTAATCCGCTAATCAGAATTTGAGAACCTTTGCACATCTGCTTGATAGGTGATTAATGAGTAGATACCTAACTAATTTTATATTTATATTATTCGATGTAAGCATAAGTTAATGCTCCGACGGAAAACGCTAGAGTTAGACCTAAACTTAATAACAATGTGTGCACCAATAGGTTGTTTGCCTATATAACATTTAGTAGTTACCTCTAGTTGAGATTTAATTAAGTCTTCATGGCCACATTGGAACAGCCAACGAAATATGAAACTTCAGAGTAATACCAACTTGGGCGTTTCTGTGCAAACCTACGGCCGTAAGTAATTTAGTACGATCTCAGCACCTTTAAAAAAAAGAAAGGGTGACTTCCAAAAAAGAAATGCCCCCTGTCTGCTCAAACCCATTGGGTATTTCATGCTTTTTTCTGCAAAGTCGCAGATCTGAGAAGCAGAGTACACTAAAAGATCGCTCACCTCCCAGAAAGCCTAATGTAAAAGTGGATTTATGTGAATTCAGGTGTTCATTAGTCCATTGAGCGGCCAGAATTGTTTAGCACCCGGATGTATTACTTTGATTGTTACAAGAGGTGAAAAAATGTTTTGACAGAACAGCAAAATTTCGGTGTCAATCGGCAAAAAAACGTTTTGGTACTATTCTATGATAGGCCACACACGTGAGATTCCAACAGGTGTCTGGAGAACCAAAATGTAGTTTGGCGGTTCCAGGCTTGTGTGCCGTCTTGGCAAACGTAACTGTCGTCAAAGCTGGACGCTAATCAAAATCATCAGCCCTGCCTTTCAGTGACGTTTTCTTATACATACTGTAATTTCGTTGAGCTAAAAGAGGAGCTCATTTGTCCTAGACGAATTAAGGCCTCTATTGTCTTGATAAATCACAACACCTGATTTGTGGCGACCTGTACGGACGGACCAGACGCAAAGGCGAATCGACGTTTAATACAAAATGTCTTCAATAACACTAAGTTCTGATAAAGGACCACCACATATTTGTATTGCTAAGTTTGGGAAGGCTTGATTGTCTTGTTTAAGAGAAACAACTTAAACTACTAGCTAGGGCCTAAAGGAGTTTCACGCTCAGTGGTTGTCCGTATTCTTGACGGTTAGATAGGCTGGCGGAAAAAACGATCGATTAGAAAGCTGAATGGTTACACGAATATCTATTCTATCTTTGTACCTGAAATTCACTCAAGAAGGCCTTAAAACACAACTATTGATTTTTACACGTTATGACTGGCTGCTCTTTTCTTCCTGGAACCGACGATCAATTAGGGGAAGTTTGCAACGAGACGCAATTGGTCGAGAATCAGACGTGACCTTCGGTACAGGCTGGATCCCGGAAGAAGGAGAAAGATTACTATGACAGAGCAAAATTGCCCCTACATAAAGTCACTCTCACATGCTTCCAAGCATTAATTCTCAGTTGCCTTCTAGTAAAACGTTCAATTTGGACCTTTAAGGGTACTTAGGTCAGTCTAACCGGTTTGCAATATTTCCATAGTTCGAAATGTACTTCTTTGTCAACACAGCAAAAAAGATCTGCCTGGGACAACAAGTTGTTCTACTGTATGAGCTTTTTCTAACCCTTAAATCGAGCTTAGTTTGAGCGGTCATATATTTATTTTATTCATAAAAATGGCACACGCTTCGTATGATGAAGACAAGGAAATGCCCTCTTTATACTAAACAGGCAACATATTTATTAAAGAGATACACGTTTGTACTGCTTGTCTATTCGAGCGTTCTATAGTAGATGCGGAACCAGATGCTACTCATCACTAAAGACGATTCTGTGTGTTTCTTCCTATGCCTCGATTGGTATTTAGTTTTTTTTTTGTAAGGATTGACCGGTACCCCTTTCAGGATCAATATCTCCGCGACGATCAATGACACATGTAGCACCGTAAGGATCCAATTTCACATGTGTAAGCTATGTAACTGTACTCATGTTAGTAAAAGATAATTACTGGTAAACCGAAATGAAGAACTAAAAAAATTTGAAAAATCGGTGAGTCTTTGTTGGCAATCAGAACCCAGATCTCGTGGCTAACAACTCCGGCGTTCCGCTTCCCCGTCGTTGAGGCAGTCAGAGTATCACAATACATTTGCGTATTTCTTACGCATGCGCACTCTTTACGTATGGATAATACTTTCAGGAACTAGCACCTAAATTAATAGCATCATGGTAAACTAACAGAGTTGCTTTTTACTCAGAAACTTGTACCAAATAGTAACACAGCGCAGGGAGATGCTGCTGCAGAAAGACGTAAGGTCTGGGGCAAAACCGGGGTGCCTCCGCCGATG